CTTTCTGTGTTTGGCTATGACTGCATAGTGGTCATGTTTTTGTTGCCCCATCCTGGTCTCAGAGAAGCCTTGTCTGACGTTGGAATTTTGTGAAATTGTTTATATTCAGCAGTAACACACCAAGGTCCAGCTGTGCATGCCAGGCCAGCTGCCAGAAGTCAGGGGCTGTTTCTTTCCTTCTCAAATATCTCCTTTGCGAAGGGTCCTGCACAATCCACTCAATCTAAAGTACTCCCTTGCTCCTGGTTATTGTCTCTCCCGGCCCCTTGTTTATTGCCTTCAAAGCCCTGGTTCTACACAGCTATCATCTTGTCTGTTTATTGTCTGCACCTTTCCAACTAGAAAACTAGAACAAAGTTCATGCGATCTTGTGCACCGTGACCACTGCCATTATTTTGGGGACCTAACATCCAGATGGTCACCGTGGAAAGGAGGGAAGAGAAGGAGGGCAGGAAGGAGGCAGGAGGGGTGGATTCGCTCAGCTTGTATTCCTAGGCAAATCGTTTTCTGTTTCTGGACTATACTTGGCTGATCTCTAAAGTGAGGCAATAGTTTTCTCAAAGGACCCTTCCAGGTCTGACTTTTGAGGATTCTACAAATACCACAGCTCAGACCTCCAGGGATGAGGACATCCCCAAATGCATCCTTTAGGACAGGAAGGAAGGAAGGAAGGAAGGGAGGAAGGGAGGAAGGGGGAGGGAGGAAGGAGGAGAGAAAAGAAAAGAAGAAAAGAAAATGATTGCCTTAGAACAGTAACATTGTTGAAGTGTAGGAAACATACCCACACACAGAGAAGAGTGTGAAATAGAGCCCACACCCTCAGGAGAAGAGGAGAAGAGGAAAGCCAAGAGTGATAATGGATGAATATAATGAGATGGCAATTTTGGTCTGAAAAGAATGTGATTAGCTCGTAATGACTGCAACCATTCCCCAGTCAATCTACTGTAACTAGCCGCTAATGTAAAAATAATGCCCCTTGGCTGGCTCACTTTGAAGATAGAGAGGAGTCTCCCTTCATACTTTTACCCCCTCATCTTTTTTTTTCCTTCAAGAGATTATCCCCTATTACATCGCACCTCCCTAAAAAGGGAAATGGATGTGTGACCAAAGTCAGCCAATAAGGGGTCATAAGGCTCACTCCTGGGTGGCTCTGTAAGGCCTTGCCTCCTCCACCTTGGTCAACAGCATCACAGCCCCTGGGCTCACACCTTCCCCTAGCCCAGCCCCACCAAGGGACACAGACAGAGGCTCCCAGAGCTGTGGCAGGGGCCTGTATGGTTTCCCACAGAGAAGGGCCACTCATCACAACTGCTTTTGTTTAGTTTAAGGTTTTCCAAATTGTATCTGCATGCTGGGTGCGTCCTGAAGGACATGGCAAGTTTGAGAGGACTCCCAGATTGTGCCATTTAAGGACTTTGGGGGTGGACAGGGATCTACTTCATATCTCTGCAGTGTCACAGCACAGAGGGTACATGCTTATGCTATGGGGCCCCTTTGGAACAGGGCAAAGTACATGGAGGCAGAAGAAACAAAATACTGTCCAAGCTGTCCGAAAGTGAGACAGGAAGCATTAGGGGGTAGTGAGCTCTCTGTCGCTGAGAGTATCCAAGTAGCAGATGCTATGCTATGCACTGGCTTATCAGCTGCCTAGGAGGAGGGATACACAAGCAGATAATTTTCAAAGTCACTTACACCTCTGAGATTCCGGAGAATGTGCAGAAACCACCTCATCCACTAATGTTTTCAGCCATCTGCCCAGTCTGTTCATGTATTCCAAAGGGGATTCGGGTACATATGAAGTATAAGGCCAGCATTCAGACATGAGCAAGGCACTGCCCTTTTTCTGGAGTAGCCCATCAACAAGTTGAGAGACTAGATTTTCAAATTAATAGATATAAAGGATCCCATCTGATAATAGAAGTGACTTACTAGCTAGGGATGAATCAGAGTAGTGGGAGGGTGAGCAAAGAAGGTTTCACAAAACAGAAGATGCTTGAGCTGGGTTTTGTAGGGTATGTGGAGTTTACCAGACTGATTGGGGTGGAGGGAACAGCACATATAAATTCAGTCTCAGAAGTTTTAAACACCTGAAATTATCTGTGGCATTACATTTGGTTCCTTATCTGTGGAACATTAATATAAGGGCAAGAAATGAGGCTGGAGGGGCATGTGGGGTGAAGTGAATAAGGACCATGTAGTAAAGTCTTCAGAATGTATGCTGAAGATCATGGCAAAGGGGGTGCCTGGGCCCCGTCCTCATTTTAGAAAGATCTCTCTGATTACAGTGGAGAATGGATTGAAGGCGACAAAACCAAAGCAAGAGAAACTAGTGAGGAGACTCATGGGAAAGTGTTTCTCCAGGTAAATTCACTGTTGCCAAGAATGATGGCTGCACATTAGAATCACCCAGGGAGTTTAAACACTGCTGACGCCTGTGTCCCCTCCTCAGAGAGTCTGATTGAATTTAATAGGCTGAAGCTTTTTAAAGCTTCCCCAGATGGTTCTACTGTACAGCCATAACAAAACCTCAAGCTAACTGTAACCTAAATCCTAGCACAAAGTAGGTACTCAACAGATTTCCCCCCCAAAAAATCATTATGAAACTATTTGGAGTATCCTGTTCTTGGCTTCAGACCACTTTTGGGTGGATGTAATTGAATGAACAAATTGGCTTTTATCACAGAGGGATTCACAGAGAAAATCTACCCCTAGGGGGCGCCAGGGTGGTTCAGTTGGTTAAGCTTCCCACTTTGGCTCAAGTCATGATCTCAAGGCTGAGTTCCAACTCCACATCATGCTCTGTGCTAACAGCTCAGAGACTGGAGCCTGCTTCAGATTCTGTGTCTCCCTCTCTCTCTGCCTCACCCCCAGTCACACTCATGTCTCTCTCAAAAATTAAAAAAACTTATAAAAACATTAAAAAAATTAGGAAATCCACTCCCCAGTGGGGCTTCTTGGTGGCCCACTTGGTGAAGCGTACTGCAGAGAGGGAGCTGTGTAGACAGAGGGCAGTGTAAACCCAGCCTCAGAGGCAGTGCGGCGCCCACGAGCAGGAGCAGGACATGCAGCCACTCCACAGGGTGCAGGATGGGAACAGAAATCAAAGTGTAGCCTGGACTTTATGCTTCTACAGACTTTGTAAAGTGGCTCCTGTTCCCTTAAATGCCCATCTTCCTTCCCTGTGTGATAAGTGACTGCCCCCTCCCCTGTGTCTCCATAACACTTGGCTCATAACTCTGTGGATCCTTCCACATGGCTGTTGACTTGTCTGTCTCCTCTTGGACTGATGCCTCCCGTCCCTCTCTCCCCCAACTCTGACTGCGAACCTCTGCTTCTAGCCTCCTTCTCGGCATCTCAGCTTGGATATCGAATAGGCAGCCCAAACCTGGTGGCAAGATGTTCTTGGAACATCTCAAGAAGCAAGTGTGATCCACTGTTCTGAGCACTTTGTGTACCCAAAACAGAACACAGAATTCCCGCCTCCCCACCTCTCTTTCTCCCCATCTATTGCTTCTCCATCTCCGCAAATGGCATGGCCCTCCACGCAGTTCTTCAGGCCAGCAGTTGGAGAGTCAGCCTTCTCCTTCCCTTCCCTCATAGTCCACACCGACAGCAGATGTGTTGGTGACCTGCCCGTGTCCCCTCTGCACCCAGTGTTCCCACACACGCTCACTCAATGCCTGCCTTCCAGAAGCTCCTGTGGTTTTTCGCCTAAGGACTTCCTTAACGCAAAAGAATACACACACCTTGCCTGCAGAGCATGGCAGAAGTGCCAGGGGATCTCCTGAGAGTTGTCCTCAACCAGTGGTAGATGGGAATTGATGGGCAAATACTCCAGCATGAGATGGGCCTGTGAGATTAAACCCTGGATGTACACAGTGGTGACCTGCTCGTTGAGGTGCCCTATACTGACCTCCTTCCCTTGATTGTCTCACTTCCCCCGCTCTCCCACCCATGCTCTTTTGGATTGCCTCCCAGATAAGATCTCATGTGCAAATCCTTGTTTACAAGTCTGCTTCAGAGGGAATCAAAATCTGCAATATTCAGTGGAACATCCTGAAAATAATCACTTTTAACCACATCCACTGCCACCATCCTGGTAAAGGGTCCAAGGCACCATCATCTCTTACCTGGACTATTGCAACCACTTCCTAACTGATCACCCTGCTTCCTCCCCAGGCCTCTGAGAACCTGTATCCCATACATGTATCCCATTTAAATCAGATCCACTAACTGCACTGCTCAAAACCCTCAGTGCTTTTCCCATGTCACTTAGGATAATACCCAACTCATTACTGGTGACCACAATGCCTTATATCACCTGATCCGTCCCAGCCTGTCCAGTTGCTTCCATCATTACCTTCCCTGCCTCATCCTTGAATATTGTCATTTGTTACCATTTCTGCACCTGCTGTTCCCTCTGCCTGGAAAGCACATCCTGTTCTTGGCACGACTGGATTTTTCACACCATTAAGGAGTTAGGTTAACTGTTACCTTCACGGAGAAGCCCTCCAAGACTGTATAATCTAAAGAAATTCTCATCTTCCCTCACTGTCCTTTTAGCCTGCTTTATTCTTTTCCTACCTCTTTCCACTGTCTAAAATTAAATGTTTGCTCTTTCACTTGTGAGGTCTTCCAGTTGACTGGAAGCTTAAGGGGGTCTCTGCATCCTGAGTACCTAGAACAGTGCCAGACACCTTCTGGGGACTCAGTAAATCTCTGTTGAACGAATGAATGGGTTAATGAACAAATGACTCCCCTACTGGGCCAAATTTGGGCCCAAGACACACAGAAGACATCAATGGCATTTGAGTCAGTGAAGGAGTGATTAAGTCCACAGAGGGGCCATGTCTGTGTTCCCTCCATGCCATATCTGCGAACACAGAGCCCTTTATCCTGAGTGACCCATCCCAGTGGCTCACCTTCTCCGCCCAGTTCAGCTGCACGTGGATAAAGTCCCTATTTCAGGCTATTCTAACCACTGTCTCCTTCCCTTTTAGGCCTTGCCGGAGGGGCAGACAGCTTCATGGGACACAGCCAAAGAGGATGAAAATCGCAATAAGAATCGATATGGAAACATCATATCCTGTAAGTGTCCCGAGGGTTTGGGGAGCAGCCAGCTCAGGGCCCACAGGAGCCCCAGGCTACTCTGCTCACACAAAAGGCAGAGTTTAAGGCATCATGACTTTGGCCAGACCTCACTTCCTGGGCGGCAGGTATTGTAAGGTGAGCCCCTGCCATCAGAGCCCGCGTGGGCCAAGGCCTTTGGTGGCACTGAGCCTGCAGGAGGGGAGCGTGTTTTGTGCAGAGGTAGAGGCATGCAGGGTCCTTGCCTTCTGCTCCACAATGAGCTCTAACATGTCTGTCATCACCTCTGATGCATGGTTTGATGAAGGTGCTGGTGGAAGTTAGAGCCCCCTGGAGTCAGACTGCCTGGGCTTCTACCCCAGCTGTGGGGCCCTGTACACGTTACCTGACTTCTCGAAGCTTCAGTGTCTTCACCTTTAAAATGATAAAAAAAAAAGTAATAAAGATAGGGTCGTTTTAAAAAGTTACATAAACCCTTGCACCGTGCCTGGCACCGTTACTCGTAGCCATAGAGTTAGTATCTCAGGTCACTGATGAGTGCTGTGGATAAATAATTCCACCTTCTTTTAACTGGAAACCACCGAATCCCAATCTGGGGACATGGAATAAGCCAGATTGGGGGTGGGGGTGGACTTGATCAGATGTCCATTTTGGAAAGATCACGAGGGTAGCTGATTGGGAAGGTGGATTTGACTGGGAGCGATTGGAGGCAGAGGGACCAGTCAAGAGGCTACTGCACTGGTCCTAACAAAGGATGATGAGGCCTGAACAGGGATAGTGACATTACTTGTGTGTGACTGTGCATAATATTCAGTGCCAGAAGGTGAGGGAGAGAGATACTGTAGTGGAGCTTCACACCATGCACAGGTCACACACAGTTTTATCTCTGCCAAATATTGGTACGTACAGCCTTCAAAGCAACATAAATACAGAGAGGACAAAGTTACCTCATACAGAATGTGGACCACATGCTCTGACTAGAACAAGAGTCTGTAACAGCCTTTGTCTCCCATGGTGTAGTCAACCTGACTCTTTTAACATCTCACTGATTGCATGTATAGCATTTCTGGTCTTAACTCTCAGGATAACCCAATCTAGCCACAAAAGGGAGGGAGTAAAGGACCCTGAATAACAAATTATTTCTAGCACAGTTCAGTGTTTTGTTTTGTTTAACTGTCTAGACATTGCCTATGAAAAAAACTTGGAGGAAGTATACATAAGATACAGGCAGCTTGCAAAGGAAGAAAGAGGCAGAAGTTTTAGCTTAGCTGTTTCCTGTGCTGATTTAGGAATGGGCTATGAATGGTAGAACTAATCAGAAAACACTTATAATTTGTCTCTTGGAAGATAGTAATGGAGGCAGGAAGATTTCTTGCAAGTGAAGTGTTGGAAAGAGATGCTCAAACAATCAGGAAATGTATCATTAAGACCTATGATGCGTGAGCATCCTCTGAGCCAAGCCTGTGCTGGGCCCTTAGTCTCCATTCCCGGGATCCCATTCTGGGTACACGTAGCTTCTCACTCTGACCATCCTCTGCTTGAGCACCGTGCATACCATGCCCTAAAATAGCTGGTCACTTGTCTGTTTCCCCCATCAGACTGTGAGTTTAGATAGGGTTCGCTAAATTATAGGCTGCAAAACCTTAGATGACCGTGCCAAACCTTGGCCTTCTCTCTGTAAAGTGGGTACAGCGTCTTCCTCTCGAGGTGTACAGACAAGAAAAAGATAAATGACTAGAACACAGTGAGAGACCCTGTCTCCCTGAGAGGCAAGAATATCCAGACTGGGCCCGGCATCCAGGCGAAAGCCTGTGGAGGCTGAGGATGGGAAGCCAAGCCAAGCTGTGTGTCTTCCAGACTTCCCTCCTCGTCCTTGGCACCCAGCACCTTGGCTGTGCCATTGTCCTCCCCCACCTGAACTCTGCCCAAGCCTTCTTCCTGATGCTGCATATCTAATCTGACCCCCAACTCCCACCTATCTGATCTCCAGCAGAAGCCAGAGGGACCCCCTCAAAATGTGAATTGGATGCTGTCATTTTCCTACTGAAAACTCTTCAAATGTCTTTCCTTCATTTTAATTTTTTTTTATTTTCTAATGTTTATTTATTTTTGAGAGAGAGAGACAGAGTGTGAGCAGGGAAGGGGCAGAAAGAGAGAGACACACAGAATTGGAAGCAGGCTCCAGGCTCTGAGCTGTCAGCTGAGTCCAATGTGGGGCTCGAACTCATGAGCCATAAGATCATGACCTGAGCTAAAGTCAGATGTTTAACCAACTTTGCCACTCAGATGCCCCTCTTTTCTTCATTTCTGAGCACTTCCTATCCAAAGGCCCTGAGCCACCTCTCTACTCCCATTTCGAACTGTATGTTCTCTATCACAGTCTCCTCAATTAAGCCATACTTCATTCAGCCCCTTGAGCTTTCTGTGCTCATTTGTGCCACGAGCTCTTTGCACATTCTGTTTTCTCTTTCAAAGTGCCCTTCTCTCCTCTCTTTGCTCTACTAAGTTCTACTTATTCTTCAGATCCAACTGTTCATCATTTCCTCAGGGAATTCTTCTGACCCTTCAAATTTGATCACAACCTCATTATTCATTATTCACTCCTTGAGCACAATGCATGTCTTCTCATCATCACTGTGGTTTGAGAGACATGTGGATGACTATCCATTGACTGGCTATTTTCCTCGCTGAAATAGATGCTCTGCGACAGCAGTTGGATGATTGTCTTATGCTTCTATGTCCCCAAACCTGGCATCCAGTTGGGACTCAGTAAGTAGGATCTTAATGTTGGCAAGTAGATTCTCTGCAGAACCCCAAAGGGCTTGAGCCATGGCCCTCTCCATTCTGGCCTCTCAGGTAAAATAGAAAATATGCAGGAAGGATGGAGGGAGAAAGTCTGGAATAGGACAACATGGGGCCTGATGACTTGCCAGTAAGGAAGACACCTGGGCCTGGGTGGGGCCAGAAACACAGGACACAGGAAAGGGCAGAAAGAGAACAGTCCTGTCCTCTGTGAGAGCTGCGTCTTAGACACAGGATTCCAGGTAACAAGGGAAAACAGTGAAGGGGATTAAACTCCATCACTGGGGGTGCAGAAGATGCTATCAGCACATGTCCCACCCACACCCCACGGCCTCACCAGCAGGTGGTCTGGCATCCTGGGCCAAGACCAGGGTGAGCAGGGGAGGCAGCCCCCATGCAGCATTCGAGGAGATGCCACCATCAGCTGCAGGACCCTGAGACCGAGCATCCCCTTGAAGTATGTGCCCTGGGCGCCTCACTTGATTCCCCTTCATGCTGCCCTGTCTCCCTCTCTTCGCCTGAGGACGTGCTCCAAAACTGGGGCAAAATCCTCTGTGCACAGGGCAGTCTCTCCCTAGCCCGTGAAATAGCCCAGCTCCTCACCATCCCACGGAGGCTGTGTTCTATACCTTTTCCAGAAACCCCACAGGGCCTGGGGGGCAGCTGCCCACCGCAGGAACCAACTTGAAAACTCCTCCTTGGGGGGGGGGGGGGCTGCCTTCTCAGCCATCTCACTGCCCCCTCCCCACTGCTGCCTCTGCTCCTTTATAAACTTTGTGCTGGAACCCTCTTCCCACACCTGCTTCCGGTGGAACCCAGAGGAGGCAGGGGGAATTCAGACACCTAACGATACCACCTTAACGGGCTCGAACAAACCTGAATCTCCTTTCCAACTCAAGGGTCAGTAATTCTACAGCACACTGTGGCCAGAGCAGGTCTGCACTCAGTACAAAAGGAGATGGTATCAGGCAACCTGTGTGTTCCAAAGCCCTGGACGACATACCGGGGAACCGAGCAAAGAAAGAGTCCTGGAATTGAAACGTGGAAGGTAAAAAGAGAAACAGCCCGGAGGACCGGAAAGTGTTCCTGCCCTTGTATGTGTCTGTCCCAAAGGCAAAGTCTGCCGTGGTTTGATAAATAGAAATATTCTTGGCACAAGAAGAAAACCGGTTGTGATTAGCATCTTAAGGAGCCTAGAGCTCTGGGAGGCTGGAGTGGAGGACAAAGGCCCAGGCCAGGAGGACAGAAAAGATTAAAGAGGGAAGAGAGGGAGGGAGGGCACTGCCTGCAAAGGAAACAATGAAAGAGAAGCCTTGGCTAAATAAGCCCTTTCTTCCAAATGAGGCTGTTCAGAATTTAGTAACAGAGAGAGTGGGCCTTCTAAGGGGTGAAGTGGCAAGGAAGCGAAAGGGAAGGAAATGAATGGGGAAACAGAACAAAGAATCCTTTGCTCTCAAGCAGCTCTGGACAGAAACCGTGGACAGGGGCAAATTTCTAGAATACCAAAGCATTCCCATGAGGAAGTTCTGGCGGGGGCTTCCTGGGCTGCTGAAAAGAAGTTACACTGAGGAAAGGAAGTGAGCTCAGGGGTTGCCGTTGTCATCAAATGAGGCTCCCCTTCTGGGATCCGTCAGGGACCCAACAGAAAACAGCTGGGACCCTCAAGGGGGATGATTTGAAGATAATTTAATCAAGTGATTTTTGTATAAAGGTGTTAGGTAGTTCTAGGGAGATGGCAAAGAACAGTGCAGTACTTAAGGCTAAATTCCCCCATGGAGAAGATGCCACACCCCCAGAAAGAGAGATGACCTGACCAGAGGTGTGGCCCTCAACCCTCAGTGACCGCAACAAACAGGGCTGAGGAGATGAGCACCTTGATGGCGTCTCTGCTCATCGAGTCTTCCGCAGGTGCTTTGCCATTGGCCACACGCAGCCTGAAGCCAGAGGACAAGGGAATCTGCAGAGCAAGTCCGCTGGGCCCCGGTGTTCTGGAATACCAAACAGGGCGTCAGGCAGAGGCGGGTTCTGCTCTCAGTCTGCCCTTGACCTGGCGCATGGCCTTTAGCGAGGTCACTTCATCTTTCTGCCCCTCGGTTTCTCCTCTCGCCATGCACAGAGGGCAAATTAAGATGAATGAAAACTGAATCCTGTGTACAGAGACTTTTAAACCCCACTGAGATTTAGTCCAGCCCCTTTGA